GGCTATGCTAACAGGAGAGTGAAGACAATAGTATTATAATAGCATTTTTCAGAAGCAGATTCCTGCAATTAACACATTTTCCCTCCTTTTTTCCATGTTGATCCTGATAGATTCAGTTAGGTTTATCCAGGACCATCATCATCAACATGCTGATTTTGGATAATTTGTTTATGTGGACATCAACATAGCAGTGATGGTCCTTGATCAATATCAGCGATTCTACTTAGGATCAACATGGCAATGATGGTCAAGATCAACGCATGACCTGAATGACCTAGTTAATATTATTTTGTCCACAGACATTCATAGATATATTACCTCAATGCAGATCATCTGTTTCTTTGAAGATTACCCATAATCCTTTGCTACCTACTGACTGCAGGTACCGATTAAAACAGCAGATGGCACTGTTGTCCCATTTAGCGGGCTTGAACCATTAATTTCAACATGAACCCTTTCAACTATGTTACATGTGCACCGGCGATTAATATCAAAACGTTGTCGTCTGAACGCGGAACTTTTTTCAAAACGAAAAATGAAAAAAGATTCCATTTTCAGTGGATCGTTTTTCGTTTAAACATGGACCAAGAGTAGCCACGTGGGACTAACCACAGACAGTCTATGGGACTAACTTACTACTTCCGCTATCTCACTGGAAGTTGTGCACATAATCATTTCTATAGTAGTGCACTCAGGAATAAGGTGGATTGTTAATAAAATAGAAAATAAAAAAAATCCCCCCACCCTCACATAGAGGTCTGGGCTGAGCCCCCCTTTGTCCTGAGATGTTAAAAACGCCCCTTCAGGCTCGAGTCCTCCGTCCTCAGCAGAGAGGCTCGTTGAAAGTGCGTCGTTGTTGTTTTTGTTTACAGCAGTTAAAAAATGTGCTGAGTCATTGAGCCTGTTCTTCTGAATACAGGGTTAACGTACTGTAACGTGTTTAAGGTGTGCTCTGTGTCAGAGGTAACGCCGACATGTTGACAGAGTTATTGTAGGCTACCGGAGCACTTTGGACTAGTTATACCGGACATTAACGCTTCAATCTGTGGGAGCTGGAAAATGGCAGTTTTCTCTGTCATTCTGAGCTGGATCGTTGTGTTCCTCCTCACTCTGGTTTTTATATCGTTCCTCGGTTACTGCCTGTACGTGAAACACCAGCATATGAAATATGACCACATACCCGGGCCGCCGAGAGACAGGTGAGTGGAGCGGGTGACAGTTGTCTCATTGTATTTCTATGGCTCGTCTCCTGACGTTAGTTTAAACTCTTGTGTCGCACTTTGCTTTTCTTTCTACAGTTTTCTCTTCGGACATTCACCTACGTTTATGAGGGTCATGAGAAATGGCGGGCTTGTACACGACAAGTTGCTGGAGTGGTAAGATATTTAATGTATATGTGGGAAAGGACATGCAAATAGGCTATTTAACATGACATGGAAAAAATAAGGTCAACTGAGGACAAACATTGTCGCAAACACCGTCACGGCCCACCAAAGGGTCCAATCTGCACACCGCACACCTAAAGCCCTGTTTCCACTGAGCAGTACAGTTCAGTAGGCCTAATTATGGGGTGCCATTTGTAAAGTGGCTCACGCTGAAAATAACATCAACATTTTGCCACATTTAGCTTCAAACAATGTTTAAAAAAGTGTTGTGAATTTTTTAACGTCACCTTTTACCACATTTACAGCAATATTTGTTAACTTAGAAATATATTACATAGTTAAATCTAAATATTAAATGTAAATGTTAAATCTAAATGTAAATATTAAATCTAAATGCTAAATGCTAAATGCTAAATCTAAATCTAAATATTAAATCTAAATGCTAAATCTAAATGTTAAATCTAAATGCTAAATCTAAATCTAAATGTTAAATCTAAATGCTAAATCTAAATGCTAAATCTAAATGTTAAATCTAAATGTCTGAGAAACTGCCGGTGACTTTTAAGGTGGAACATTTACTTGTAATGTTACTCAATGCATGAGTTGATGACGTGAATCCATCAGCAAACCTTAAATTTCACTGTGACAACTTTGACCTTTACTTTAGTATTTATACGACAGACACTTTAAGTAATGAGTGGATCTTCAAGCAAATTTCAGCCTGGTTATATGAACTGCAAATATTCTAATCCTCACTCTGAGAAAAACAAAGCATCACAGAGCGTCGTTCCTGTGGGCTACAGCAATACTAAACTCCCGAGCTTGCCTGAGAAGGACTAAATGCACAAAGCTGCTATTTTTCAAATATCCCATGGAGAGAGACTCTCACTGCAGCTTGTTTTGTTTTCTTATGAAAATGGCGGTGTGCAGCCTTGTTCTGTGGACGATAAACCAGGTGCAGGTGATAAAGGAATAAATACAGTGACTTGCATAATTTGTGTTTGGTGCTTCAAATGTAGCTCCTGACTCCACAATCACCTAATCTGACAAAGTGACTGTAGCAACAGACAGAAATGTTGTGTATTCTGAACCAGGCATTAAGATGTCTTACTGTATTTGCACTTCAAACCCATAATGACATTTTTATTTACAGGTCTGAGAGTTACGGACCTGTTTACAGGGTTAATATTCTGCATTACGTTATGCTTAGTGTGACCTGCCCAGAGACAACCAAGGTAAACACCATGTGCCACAGTAGTATATGTGTAATCATTAGTTACATAAGCATTGCACGATAAACTGTGAAAGTGCACAGAAACACAGATTGTCCTGCTGTGGTAGAAATCCTTGAAAAATAATTTTTTTTTTAAATGTTCCCTCTTTTGTTGTTTTGTTTCAGGAGGTCCTGATGTCCCCAAAGTATCCCAAAGATAGATTCCTCTACAAGAGACTCTTCTACCTGTTTGGTCAAAGGTTCTTCATCAGACTATCAGACCGATGTCACACTGAGGACTAATGAACAAACAGATTAAACAGAGGAGCAGCTCTGTGTCTCTGAGTGTTGATGGAGAACTTGT